CTTGGTAGCCCAGGCTGGCCTCAAACTCACAGAGATCCGCCTGGCTCTGCCTCCCGAGTGCTGGGATTAAAGGCGTGCGCCACCAACGCCCGGCCTGAGAAAGAATGCTCTGTGTGGATTAAAGCTCATCTGAAAAAACCTTGAGTGGGAACAAATCATTAGACATTTTGCTTTTATATTATATTCAATATGCCTATATCCTTTTTATCCAAATCTGGCATTTCTATTGCGTCACTAAACTTCTAAAAACCAAGGTCTAAAAGGACTTAGTAACTTTGCACGAGTGAAGTGTTTTAAGTGGTTTTCTTGAAGTAAGAGGGTAAGTGAGAGAAAAAAGAAAAAAGCATATTGACATGGGGTACGACCGAGCATCTTCCTTGGATTTAGAACTACCTAACTCTTTCTTGAGGACCACAGCAACTTCATGGAGAGCAGCGATGCCTTATCTCTACCCTTAGCCCCCAAGGTCAAGCTAATGGTAGCTCTAGACACAGATCTCTTGGGCACAGAGTTTTAGAAAATGTTCGTGCCCAGGCTTCATTGCAAACCAGTTCTATGAGCCTCTTCAATGAGCCCTGGCCTTGACTTTCTTTGTTTAATTCACCTTTAAACTCCCCCAAGGTGAGTCCAATGTGCAAACAGAGCTAACAAGCCTGGCTCGTGGCAGACTGCACTTCTCAGAGGATTTAAAGGAGTCAGCTAAGAAAAAAAGATCGTGGTCATTTGTGTAGTTCCTGGGGGTCTTCCTGAAAATGGGGTTGATATCCAAGAGATCTTATTTGTACCTGTGCCCTTTAAACTTTCAGATCTTTCTTGCTGTGACCGCTGAGCTGAACTGTGAACTGCTCTCCAAAGAGCAGAGAGCACGCATAGCCGCTGTGTGCCCTGGCGTCAAAAGCGTGGAGGGTGAGGATGGAATTGCGAAGGTGTGTGGCAGCTTCAGAGATATTGAGATGATACATCACTTTTTGAGCATGCAGCTTTTGGAAAGTGAGCAGAAACAGAAGTACCCTCCACAAAAATACCCCCCTTCTGATGTGGAGAGAGAGCCACCCAACCAGCAAGACCGGGTCAGAGGCTTTTCCTCTTCGGAACCAAAAGCCAAGTTAGAAGTTTTTGAGAACTGTTTTGAAGTTTCTGTGCTTTTCCTTGAATATTTCAGACATGCCTGTCCTGGTAGAATACAGTCCATAGAGAAAAAATTTGGTGTGAACATTGAAATCCAAGATAGTGCTCCCGACATAGTCTCTGTACGCTTCACACCCAGGCAGTCAGACAACGTAAACTTAGAAGCAGCCTGTGATTCTTTTGTGAAAGACTTTCAGAAGTGCATCCAAGCTCTGAAGCAAGATTGTGTCTCTTTAGAGGACCCTCAGAAAGCAAAGGAACTCAGACAGGAGTTGAGTCGCTGCTTTCCAAAGCTCCTGATAAAGGGGCAGGGGGAAACGCTAACTCTCCTCGGCTCTCAAGCTGACATTTCAGCTGCCACAGAAAAAGTCTCCCAAACTTCCCTCAAGACACCTGTGAAAATAGTGGCGTCTGGTTACAGGATGGGGATTGAAGTTGATTCGACTCACTTTAAGCTTCTAAAACCGGAATTGCTCCAGGAAATCTCAGAGATAGAGCAGAAGTATAACACCTGCAGCAAAATCCAGGAGAAAGGCCAGAAAACCTGCATCCTATTTGACACCAAGGATAAGGAGGTTGACCTGTCTGTGCACTCTTATGCAAGTTTCACTGACGCCTTCCAACATGCCACGTGCCAGCTAAGGACAGAAGTCCTGCCGCTGAAACACTTGGGCAAGGGGAAAGCTCACTTACATAAGACCAAGTTTGTGGACGACTTAAAAAAAAAGCACCCCAGTGTACACTTCGTGATATCTCAAGAGTCAATGACTTTCATTGGTTTGCCGAATCAGCTTGCGCAGGCAAAGCAGTATGTCTTCAAAAGAGTGGGACTGCCCCCATCGTCTGGAGAGAAAATAAATGGGGATCATGAAACACCCATGGATATCGACAGGGATGACTCCCATTCAGCTTTACCTCCTCCCAGAGGCTCGGCCGATAGCTCTGGGGCCTTGAAGGAGAAGAGCGTGGAAGATGACTGTGCCATCTGCATGGATACCATTAGCAACAAGCGTGTGCTCCCTAAGTGCAAGCATGAGTTCTGCACCCCCTGTATCACCAGAGCCTTGTCAATCAAGCCTGTCTGTCCTGTGTGTCAGACTTCCTACGGTATCCAGAAAGGGAACCAGCCAGACGGAGGAACCATGACTTTCAGCACGTTAAGACATCCCCTTCCAGGTTATGGGAACTGTGGCACAATTGTGATTCAGTATACTATGTCAGGGGGCATCCAAACAGTAAGTATGCCTGAGGACGTCGAGTTTCTTTCTTCCTTTCTTTCTTCCTTTCTTTCTTCCTTCCTTCCTTCCTTCCTTCCTTTCTTTCTTACAGATTTATTTATTTAGTATACAGCATGTATAACTGCAGGTCAGAAGAGGGCACCAGATCCCATTATAGATGGTTGTGAGCCACCATGTGGTTGCTGGGAATTGAACTCAGGACCTCTGGAAGATCAGTCAGTGCTCTTAACCTCTGAGCCATCTCTCCAGCCCTCGAGTTTCTTTTTGCTACGCTAGAATGAGCAGCGCCCGGGGGGTCGTCCTATAGCCTCTTAAATAATGATTTTCCCAGGAAATCGGTCTGTGATTGTGGGTAGGGACGTAATAGAGAGAGGCAAAGTTCATATTGTTTGCTTAGAATTCACATGCTTTTTAAACTAGTTTCACCGTGTTGGGGACTGAACCCAGCATCTTGTGCATACCAAGCAAGCACTACTGAGCTACACCTCTAGCCTTTCATGTCTTTTTTAAAGGTAAAGATCATATGTTAGGATGGGAGGAGCTGGGTAGCTAGTGTCATTTGAAGAGAACTGTGAATTATTCAGAATATGAGCAAAAAAGTATATATTTTTTTGGGTTTTCAATAGGCTTCACCTCCAGTGAGCACACCTTTAGTATAATAAAATTCAGAGGCATACCATTTTTTATATAACATTTTCTTTTCTTCATACAGAAGGAGCACCCAAACCCAGGAAAGCCCTATCCTGGAACACATCGAACAGCGTACTTGCCTGATAATGAAGAGGGAAGAAAGGTCTTGGATCTGCTCCGGGAAGCCTTTCAAAAAAGGCTGATTTTCACAATAGGGTACTCTCGAGCAACAGGAGCCTCGGATGTCATTACATGGAATGACATCCATCACAAAACATCCCCATTTGGAGGGCCAGAAAAGTAAGAGCCTTTTGAGATGTAATGGTTGCTGAACAACATATAGGTTGTTAAATGCTGCATTTTGAGGCTGTGGGTGTAAAAAGATGTTCTAGCAGGAGATGTTAGCCCTGTGTCTTCGGGTTACTGTTGCTCTGATGACCAAAGGCAACTTGGGGAAGAAAGGGTTTATTTGGCTGACATATCCTGAATCAGAGTCACTGAGGGAGGACAAGGCAGGAACTCAAACAGGGCAGGAACCTGAAGGCAGGAACTGACGCAGAGGCCATGGAGGAGTGCTGCTTACTGGCAAGTAAGTTACTGGCGTACTCCCCATGGCTTGCTCAGCCTGCTTTCTTATAGAACCCAGGACCACCAGCCCAGGGGTGGCACCACTGACAATAGGCTGGGTTCTTCCCACATCAATCACTAAATTAAGAAAATTCGCTACAGACATGCCAACAGCCCAATCTTATGGAGGCAATTTCTCTGTGTAACCCTGGCTATCCTGGAACTCACTTTGTAGATCAGGCCAGCCTGCCTCTGTGCTAAAATTGTGTGCCACCACCACCCCAGGAGGAACTTTCTCAATTGAGGTTTCCTCTTCTCTGATGACTCCAACATGTGTCAAGTTGACATAAAATTCTAGACATCACGCATAGCAAAATACTAATCCATAACAATAATTTCAAAGACAAAAAAATTGGTCCCAGCCAGGCAGTGGTGGTGGTGTATGCCTTTAATCCCAGAATTTGAGAAGCAGAGGCAGGTAGAACTCTGAGATTGAGGCCAACAGAGGGAGTACCAGGACATCCAAGGATATGTGGAGAAACAGTCTTGAAAACAAGAAATTGGTCCCCCCCACCTTCTACTCCACCTTTCTATTTTATTATTATTATTATTATTATTATTATTATTATTATTATTATTATTTTGGTTTTTTGAGACAGGGTTTCTCTGTGTAGCTTTGGAGCCTATCCTGGAACTCACTCTGTAGACCAGGCTGGCCTCGAACTCACAGAGATCCACCTGTCTCTACCTCCCAAGTGCTGGGATTAAAGGCGTATGCCACCACCCCCGGCCTCTACTCCACCATTCTTAAGGTATGACTTGGTTATTAATTTTGTATCAAAGGTGGACAGTGGTGGTGCATGCCTTTAATCCCAGTACTCAGGAGGCAGAGGCAGGCAGATCTCTGAATTTGAGGACAGCCTGGTTTACAGATTAAGTTCCAGGACAGCCATCCAGGGCTACACAGAGAAACCTTGTCTTGACAAAAAAATAAATAAATAAAAAGGGTATTTCAGAATCCAAGATGAATCCGAGTTGATTTAATTTAGGCTTTCATATCGATTTGAAAGGCAGAAGCTAGGAATGTTATTTGCTTTGACTTCTTTTTTATTTTTTTTAGATTTATTTATTTTTATGTACATTAGTGTTTTGCCTACATTTATGTCTGTGTGAAGGTGTCAGATCCCCTGAAGTTACAGACAGGTGTGAGCTGCCATATGGGTGTTGGGAATTGAACCAGGGTCCTCTGGAAAAGCAGCCTGTGCTCTTAACCACTGAGCCATCTCTCCAGCCCTGCTTTGATTTCTTTTAAGGTCATCTTACTCTCCTCCCTCACTCCTGTCTTCCCATCGGTCCACAGAGATGCTGAACTCACATGGCTGATACATGGTAGAAAAAAGTCTTAGTTATAAAGAGTCCCAAGATGGGGCGGGGAGATGTATTCCAGGAAATCTGAAATCTGATTCTACCTTATAAAACTCAGAATTCCTCTACTTGTGGCATCCAAAAGAAATATATCCTGAGACCTTTTCAAATCTCTCAATTTGAAAATCCTACTGTCATACGATTACCTGTTCTGTAGAATATGGCATTTATAACATTACGTGCATCAGTGCTTAGGATAAGCTAAGAATATGAGCAACCTGGCTGAAAAACAGATGCTGGTCAGTCAGCTGGGCACTTAAGTGACTAGATATCAGTCACTGTCTGGATTGCCTGAGGGTGTTGGAACCCAGAGTACTAGATGCTAAAATGCAAATTGTACAGATTTTGTTGTTGTTGTTTTGAGACGGGATCTCACTGTGTGGCCCAGGCTGGCCTCAAACGCACAGAGATCTGACTGCTGTCACCCTCCGAGTGCTGGGACTAAAGGCCTGTGCCACCACACCCGGCTACTGTACAGATTCTTAAGAATTATTTGAAAAAAAAAAAAAAAAACTAAAGGGATTCTTTTTTTCTTCATGCAGTTTTGGCTACCCTGATCCTAATTACCTGAAACGTGTCAAGGAGGAGCTGAAAGCGAAAGGAATTGAGTAAGGAAAGCACTGAGAAGATGTCTGTCCACTTTCCAAAGAAGTGTGTCAGGAGGTCGTATTTGTACAGGCCTAAATCTTTTCAGAAAACTATAGCTTTTTTTGTGTTAAGTAGATGTAGTTTCTATAAAAGCAGAAATCTGCTTGCCAGTCATTTCTAGAGTGTTACTGTTTCATGGAAGACAAAATATAAAGGGCATGGGCTGGGGAGGTCATCCATAAGTTGTGAAGACATGAGCTCAGATCAGCAGCAGCCACGCAAAGGCTGGTATGATGACATACGCTTATAATCTTAGCACTGGTGAGTGGAGATGGGGGGATTCCTGGAGCATACTGGCCAGCTAGTCTAGCCCAAACCATGAGCTCCAGGTTCACTGAGAGACCTTGTCTCAAGAAATCGGGTGCATGGGAGCATGATGGCACATGCCTTTAATGCCAGTACTCGGGAGGCAGAGGCAGGTGATTTCTGTTAGTTCCAAGACAGCCTGGTCTACATAGACCAAGTTCCAGGACAGCCAGGGCTACATGGTAAGACCCTGTCTCAAAACAAACAAAATAAATATGAGGTGGACAGAAATAAAGACAACTAGCATCACCCTCTGGCTGCCATATGCTCCACACACACATATGCACATATACACACACAGAGAAAAGTTTTAGAAAAGAAAAAGATAAGGGATTTCAAATTTTTGCTGAGGAAGTCAGATCTCATTCTTGTGTTATGGTTGGGATGCTGACTATTATGAAACCATCTTCTGTGTCTTTCACTTGAACCATTGGCAACTAATTGAACCTCTCCAGTTTTTTGTTTTGCTTGAGACAGGATCTCACTGTGTAGCTCTTGAACTTGCCTTGCAGACCAGATTGGTCTTGAAGTTAGATCTGCCTGCATCAGCCTCCTGAATGCTAGGATTAAAGACATGTGCTATATGCCCAGTTATATTTGTTTGTTTGGGGGTTTTTGTTGTTGCTTTTTATTTTTGATTGGTTTGGTTTTGGTGTTGGGATTTAAACCCAAGATCGATAAGTTCCATCCCTAGACCTTTGATCCTATTCCATGGCCATCTCTAGTAGTACATTAGTTGTTTGCTTTTTAATCCCTGCCTGGACAAGTAAAACCCTCGTGTAAATGGGAAATTTAAAAACAGGATTGCCTGGAGAAGACCACACTTCCTTCCCTACCCACAGCAAGAAACGTGTCCAGGAGATCAGGCAACTTTTGATAATAAATAGAACAAGAAGAGTCTTGTTTCTCAGGATACTGAGCCTAGTGGACAGTTGGTGTTTAATGTGTGTTTGTGGCCTCACTCAGGTAGCTAGTAGCTCAGCAAAGGGATGCGCACATGAAAAGATTTGCTCCTCAGATCACTGGCAAAAGCAGGACTGGGAACCTTGGCATTCATTTGGCAAACAGTTTCTTACTCCAACAGGTATTGGTTAGACTCTGGCCAGGCCTTTATCATAGGCGCTACCCTTCACCGATCCTTGGAGTCCGCCCTAAAGGGTGCCCTTGTCTTGCCACAGAAGTGCAACGTGTTTTTCACATTTTACCCCAACGTTATGTTGTAAGTTTTGAATATATTCTGTTTCAATTTTAACAGATAAATAACCGTGCCTTAGCATTTTCTAATAACTGCTACCTGAAATGTAGTAATTTTTTGTTTTGTTTTTTTTTTTGGGGGGGGGTGTTTGTTTTTTGTTTTTTGGTTTTTCGAAGTTTTTTGTTTCTTAATTCTTTGACTGAATCCCACCAATTTGTGTTATCTCTCTCATGGTTTTTTTAGTCCTTTCCCTGGACATGAGTGAAGGAGAGAATTAAACCTACTTTAGAGTCTGTATGGCATGTCACAGTACACTGTAAGTGGTCCTCCAAAACAGAAGAAAATAGTACACAGTGATCTGGTGATCTGTGTTACAACTGCTCTCCAAAATGGTAGATGACCTGTCTTGAACTTTTCCTTAAGACACACATAAAAAACATTTTGGCCAGATAATAATAGCAAGCATTTATTGAGTACTTATTCTGAACATACTTTACATTGATGTGATCAATACAATTTGTAGCTGTAGTCTTTGAACCGAAAATTGATGTGCAGAGTATCGGTCAGTCACCAAAGGTAACATAATTAAGTGGAAGTGGTAACTTTTACCTCAGTCTCAGTTTTTGGTTTTTTTGTTTTGTTTTTTGTTTTTTGAGACAGGGTCTCATGTCGCCCAGACTGGCCTCTTCCTATGTAGCCAAGGCTGTTCTTGAACTCTGTCCTTCTTGTCTTACCTCCTACCCAAGTTCTTGCATATATCCTAGGCTGATCTTTGTTGCTGGTTTTTCTTTTGCTCTTTGGGGGGCCCATCACCCAGCTCCCAGATAATCACATAGAGATTTACTCTTTCTTATGAGTGCCCAGTCTTAGCTTGGCTTATTTCTAGCCAGCTTTTCTTAAATTACCTTGTCTACCTCTTGCCTCTGGGCTTTTACCTTTTTCTATTTTTGTATATCTTTTCTTTCCTTCTTATTCTGTGTCTGGCCATGTGTCTGGGTGTCTGGCCCCTGACATCCTCCTCTCCTTCTCCTTTTCTCACTCCCTGATCTCTCTTCCCAGATTTCTCCTCCTGTTTATTCTCTCTGCCTGGCAACCCCACCTATCCTTTCTTCTGCCTCGCTGTTGGCCGCTCAGCTCTTTATTAGACCAATGAGGTGTTTTAGACAGGCAAAGTAACGCAGCTTCTCAGAGTTAAACGAATGCAACATAGAAGAATGCAATACATCTTTGCATCATTAAACAAATGTTCTCCAGCATAAATGAATGTAATACATCTTCAACAATTATTCCACAACAAATCTCTCAGGATCTGCCTTCCTGAGCCTCCCGAGTATACGGATGCACCACTATGCCTCACTTGGACATCCAGCTTAGACCTTCTACTGTTGAGGATTCACCACGTTTTTTTTATCATTAAGACTAACTGATCATTTTCTGTCTTATAATCTAGTAGTTAAATTTACTCCAAAGAAGCAAAAAGTTGGTTTTTGTTAAGTTCTGGATCTTGCATTTCATCACATGTGCAGAGGCAAATTCCATATGGTGTGAGTGCTTAATGGCGTTTGGATTTCTGCTTTTGCAAGGTGTTATTATCTGCCTTAAATAAACTAGATCCTTATTTACAACAGATTGTGTGGTTTCCCTCATTTCTCATTACTTTTTCCTTAGGTTGGAATTCTGAGTGTTTCCTTTGACACATACAGTATACAGTGGTGTGGGGGCGTTTTTGGGTTGCTTCATAGACTTCACTTTTGATTGCAAAAAAAATCGTATTTCTCAGTACTTTTCCTGTCTAGTGAATACAGGTTGTTATAGAGACAGAAGTAGACCACAGGGACAGTGAGATGGGTCAGAGGGTAAAGGTGCCTGCTGCCAAGTTTAACAACCCGAGTTTGATGCCTGGAACCCACATGGTGGAAGGAGAGGACCAACTCCGGCAAGGTGTCCTCTGCTGCATGCATGTCATGGCACACACACCCCAACAAATAAAGGACTTTCCTTTTGTTTCATCCCGATGTGTAGGAATGTTTTGCTTACCTGTATTGCATGCACTGCGTATAGACAGCGCCTTCAGAGATCAGAAGAGGGTGCCTGGATCTCCTGGAACTGGAGTCACAGACAGTTGAGAGCTATCATGTAAGCTGGGAATGCAATCCAGGCCCTCTACCAGAGCAACAAGCCCTGAGCCATCGCTCCAGCCCAATAAATGCTGTTGTTCTTTTAAGTAGGCTTCAGGCTTCATCTTTTCGAATTATAGAAAGCTTATTTAGTCTCCTATCAAACCTATTGCCCTGTCCTTGCTTACTGAGCACCAGCAGCAGATTGGGGGCACTCTCCTCTGCAAAGGAAAACTATTGAAAAAAATCAAGATATTTAATATTTCCTTAAAAATAACATCAAGATAGAAGTTAGGAGGAAAATCAAACTATTATTTAATTTCTTATTCCTTTTTTTTCTGAGATAGGGTTTCTCTGGAACTTTCTTATT